TTTGTCGGAGATGCTCCTATGATGTGCACATCAACACCCTTAAACTTGTCCTAGCCACCTTGGTAGCTCCATGATTGCTCGACATAGCCGGAAAAAACTGAAACCATTCAAGCACCATGGGTCACTCTGTGACTCGAACCGGTTGGGCTAGATAGCGTGCTATCCTAACCAACAGGATGACACCCTTAAACTTGTCCTATAGCCACCTTGGCAGCTCCATGAGTGCTCGACATAGCCGAAAAAAACCAAGACCATCCAAACACCATTGGTCACTCCGTGACTCGAACTGGATGGGCTAGATAGTGTGCTATCCTAACCAACGGGGTGACACCCTGTTCTATCAACATAACTGTTGTACAACATGCAGATATGTTCTTTCTATATGTGCAATAAAGTGATGCCCATGCACGTCAATCCTGCGTAGCCTTTCTTGTGTATGTGTCGCCTAATGAAAAACGAGTTGTTTTCTTCCCCGGAAAGTCCACAACAGCGCATGTGCAAACTTTGCGTGCATTGCTTCTTCTCCGTTCCGAAGCACCGCATGCCGCCATTCCCCTCTGTTCCTCGGAATCATGACTTTGTTCCAAACCTTTTCTTTTTCTTAACAATATAGAATCTGCCTGCTGTTTTTCTTTCTGACAGCCGTGGGAATTTCCTACTCTTGCCCACGTTTTTTTAGCGGTATCTTGCCCACGTACAAATTCTGCACCCCGTCCATGTTGGATGGACTCGGCTCCCCTGATGTACTGCAGGGCGCAGTTGGGTCACTGACAGGTGGGCCAACTTGCTTTCGGGCCCACCTGTCAGTGGCCCAACTGCGCCCTGCAGTACGTCAGAGGAGCCTCGTCCATGTTGGACCGGCCCAGTTCGGGCTATTTTCTTAATCTTTCGGTACAACTGGGTTTGAGCTGTCCCACAAAAAAGCGTTTGAGCTTTTGTTTTTTCCCTGGTTTATTTATATGAAGGGTTTTCGGTTTTCTTCTGCCTTTTTGTCTTTGTTTTCTTTTCCTATTTGGTTTTCTGTTTATAGGTTTTCGTGAACAATATTTTGATTCACGAACAAATGTGTCAAAAGATGGTAGTCTATTTTTCCTCGAGCTAGGAGCTGCCATTTTTACTTAGGGCATAAAGCATCAAAAGCGAAACTAAAATAGAGCAGGTGGAAACACCGGAGGAGCAACCAAGGCCTACTTGAGACAGCCCAACTGCATGTTATAGCTCATATCTATAGAGATACCAAGATCCCACGATTTGAAGCGCTCTGGTGCTTCGGGGTTTGTGGGATCGTTGTAGGACTTGCATGTAAGGTTGTCTGTTGCTTAGTTTTATTTCCTCTTATCTCTTTATTTTCTTACATGTTTTAATTATGAGCGCTTATTAAAATTTGCGAACATTAAAAAATTATATTTTTAGCTTCATTAATATTTATTACATTCATGTGTATTTTGAAGTTCACGGGTATTTTTAAAGTTTGCGAACAATTTTTAAATTTGAAACTTGTTTCATTTGCAAATGTTTTTAATCCATGAATATATTTTAAACTCATAAATATTTTATGCAATTCATGGTTTGTAAATTCACATATTTTTGAAAAATCCTTGAACATATTTTAATGAAACTAACCTTTTTTTTAAATAGTCCATTTTTCTGAGCGAGCAGTGGGGTGAGCGGAAAAAAGCTAACCGACTTAGAGGAATGGGGAGTCAAACTAAGCGAGCGAGAGCTCGTGGGCCGATCCATGTGCGTGTTATAGCAGAAATTCCATGATTTTAGCGTGGATAGGACCTCTCAAGAGGCTCAAACGACCACCACCAACTGGCACCGAGACCGACATGTGTAAATACACCACAACGACACTCCAAAAACTTCATTCTTCTTTAGGAAATATTGTCTCGAACAAAAACCCGACACGATATACAAATGAAAAAACACCTTCATACTGTAATTAAAACACAAGACAACATTGATAAAATCCAAACAAAACAACCGACCGTGACACTCTACTAGATATAAAAGAATTAATCCCACTAGTGAAGAACGGCGCGGCGAAGCGCGCGTTAGCCTCTAGTCCTTCACTATAAGCGAAGAATAGGAGGCCCCTCACCCCCTCACCCACCCCTCACGTGTTCAAATGACCTAGACACCTTTCCATTAGTGTGGTTGCCACACAAGGCTGGCCTTTTCTAGGGTGTTAGCGAAAGTCGGGGCGATGAGTCAATGTGATGATGAAAGCCAGGTGGTGAGCATCGAAGGCGGTACAACGATAGCTCTATGAGAAGGGGCTACGGTTTCCATGACTTGGTTGACAATTTTGTGCCACATGTGTGGTGAGGTGGTCATTTTGGATTTATGTTGGGGCAAGGACTCTGTATTCTAGTGCGGTGGCTATGGACCACAAATAGTTATTTTGTGTTGTGGTGCCTTTTGACGCTCATGTCGTGCAGGGATGTAGCTTGCAACACATGTCAGGGTCACAACTTTGGAGGGTGATGATGGTAGTTTGCCCATGCTCTTTGGAGTGGCTAGAAGTCGGGATGGTTGCCTCAGAAATGTATGTTTGGTCGTGGTGCTCGGTTTTGGCCGTGTTGGTGTTCGAAGCCTCGACCTTCTTTATGGTTTCCTGCCTTATATGTTGTTGCGGAAGCGACTTGATCTACTCGTCCCATGGTAGATCTAGTTTGGTGTCGGTGGTGGCAGCAGCTAGTTGGTGGAGCATCTCGACGTAAGTCGGAATCAATGGGTTAATGTTGTTTAGGTGATATGCTTTGCTCTTCATGCTATTGACGTACCAGAAAAAAGATGCAGTATCAACGAGTATACTGGGTCATATGTGCTGCCTGCGTGTGTGTGTGTGTGCTGCGTGTGTGTGTTGCTGCGTGTGTATGCGCGTGTGCATGCGTGTTGTTGCGTGTGTGCGCGCGTGCATGTGTGTTGCTGCGTGTGTGTGTGCGTGTGTGCACGTGTGTGTTGTTGCGTGTGTGTTGATGCATGTGTATGTGTTGTCGCGTGTGTGCTTCTGCCCTCACACTGGTGCTGCGTGTGTGCGCTATTGCCCCCCACACACATACCATATGAGGGGTAAAAGAGTCTTTTCAGGTGTCATTTAGTCTCAAAATGAACGAAAATGTCATATAGGGAATAAAATTTAGAACTTGTGTCAAATAGAGAAGAAATTTTTTCTAGTGTCAAATAAAGAAGCAGATTTTAAGATGGTGTCAAATAAGGAATTTTCTCTAGTTAAAATGCGGGTTGAATGTAAGCGGCCAGCCTCTCGCATCCGTGTCCGTGAACATATGCGAGAGAAAATTTATGGGTTGCCATTAAAGATGTCCTAATAATACTAACAAAAACTTGCGCTGTCATGCCGGACTAGTAAGTACTCCATACAGCTCGAAAGTGCCCCATATATAACATAACATTTTAGTAGCACTACTCCATAATAATCAATCTAGTTGGTAGATTTGAACCAAATTAGGTGACCGGTTCATACCACAATCGATCTTTACATCACGGTCGTCCAAACATGTGTGTTTAAAGGGAAAAGTGTGGACAACGGCTGGGAACAATTGGTGGTCAAACAGATAATTTTTTTGACCATTAACGAATCGCATGCACGCGTTGACCATAAACGTCGTCACAGCTGAACGACCAAACCATCTAAGGACCAGCATCGGTTGTATGACCAGCAAATGAAAAAAAGCTCGAGATCGAATACCCACCAAATGTTCACCAACCCAACAAAGACTTTTGTTCTTGGCAAGGTCAAAATTATGTTATCGACCTAGCATAAACTCGCTATTTTTTCATTTTTAAATTCCTAAGTACTCCCTCTCTTTTTGTAATCTAAACGCTTTTATATTTTTTTACGGAGAAAGAACGACATAGATATATACACAGCACAGTAGAAACTCGCGTGCGTACATCGGAGAAAACGTCGCCAGTCGCCATGCTACAGATACGGCGGTGTCGGCTGCATGGATCCAAGGCCTGAGAAGAGGAATGCGGCATGTCGGTGTCGGCGCCGGTGGCCGGAACGGACGGCGGTCCACGTCCAACTCGGCGAGCAGACGGGACGGGACCCGGGGACAGGGTCATGAAACGGAGGAGATCATCATGTGGCCGGCCCATGTGATGTTTCTATTTTCTGCTGGCTGTTACTTGGGACCTTCATGTGCCTGTCTTGCCCCTGCCACGCGCAATTATGAATCGGATCGAGCCTTCTTGATTCTTCTTTTCGTGCTAGGAGGAGGCACGCCGTTCCAACTTTTCTCTCTCGCCATGATTCATGTTTCTGCCAGTTTGGGCTATGAAAAAGGAAGAGGTGCAGAACTCTTTTTGGTCTAGCACAAAGTAAAAATAGACTTCATATCAAGATGTTTACTTCTGGTGAGTCAAAAACTTCCCCAAATAGGAAATAAGCTCTTGCGTGTTATTTGCTACTCCCGTCGTCTAGAATTATTTGTTTTAGATTTGTCTATGTACCAATGTATTTAGGCATGTTTTAGTGTCAGATATATCCGTGTCTGAACAAATCATTTGCGATGGAGGTAATACAAAAGAAAAGATTCCAAAGCAAGGACGAGGAAATTCGCCATAGCTTGGGCAGCATGAACACACATGCCCCACGCCCCAATGTTTTGCCGCCCAATCGATTGTTTATGGTTGCAACTCCATACATGCAACACGGCAGCAACAGTAGCAACACCTCACACTCACATGCAACCAATCAAGCAACCAACGCCCAGCGGCTCCAGAGGGGAAAGGCCATGCACCAGATCAAGAGAGAACACCACAGATCTCAACAGCAGCTGCTCAGCTCACGGATCTGAATCCAGAAACTGACCCAAAAAAGAGGAACTAACCTGACACGTATGGACTACTAGCTACGCGGTAACGCAGAGCGGAGTACAATACAAACCAACCAATATCAGTAGTATACCATCATCATCACTCCAGTATAAACACAGCTCGCATGGCACCCACCATGGCCCGATCAAGCTTCACGCCGCCGGCCGTTGCTTCCTCTTCGGCTTGGCGCGGCCTCGGCGCGCCGCGGGGCTGGAGCCGGAGCCGGAGCCGGAGCCCCCGAAGATGGCGCAGAGGATGCAGCCGGACACCCTCGGCGACGGCGGGTCCACGTCCGGGGCCACCTCCTTGGTCCGGAACACCTGGGGATCGCGCTCCTCGTCCTTCTTCTTCTGGCCTTGTTGCTCCTTCTTTTTCTGCTGCTGCTGCTGCTGCTTCTTGTCGTCGCCGCCCCGGCGCAGCATCATCCCGACGCCGCCGGTGCTCCGGGAGCGCCGCATCTCCGGCTGGGCGTCATCGGCGCCGCCCTCGCCGGCGGCCTGCGCCTCGGCGCCCTCGGTCAGGAACCGCTCGTCCCACACCAGGCCCGACGAGCCGGACCGTCTGAAAGTCGAGGACGATCTCTGCAACCCTTCCATCCGCACCTGTCCACCTCCCCTCCCCGCGCAACGGACAAGCTTTGCTTATCTGCAAGCTATGGAGAAGAGAACACAAGAGGCAAGGAGGATGTGTCTCCTGAGGTTGGTGCTTTGCCTTCCCAGGCCTCCTGTGCGTATGTATATATGTGAAGGGAAAGGGACGGCCATTAACGTACAGACAGGAGAGCAGTCAACAGCCGGTGGCACTGAGGGCTACCAGGGCCTGTCTCCTCCCATAACCTACTACTACTACTAACAAACCTATGGAGAGATTAGTCTACGTTCAGTTAAAACAGGACAAGAGCTGTCAGATTAAACTACTATTCTGATCCACATGCGCCGGTAATACTTTTCCATCACGGGCATGTGGAGGGAAGAGAGCCCAACTGTGCCCATGAGCAACCGGTAAGCATCACCAAACCCACTACAGGGCCAAGATAATTCGCAGAGAGCGACCTGCGCAAATGGATGCACTAGTTGGCCCTGATCTGATGTGAAGTGCAAGTGATGTGTCAACACAAGAGGATCCACAAAGAGGTTTATGGTGTATGTATGATATGCGTCGGCATAATAAAGATGATGAACATAGCAGAGAAAATAGTGTAGCAGGAATCTTACCTTTCATATGGACGGCGATCGCCACCATAACTCTGTCGATGAAGAAACGGTGCGTCTGAATAAGAAGTGCAGAGGGCCCAAGAGAAAGCAAAGCCAGCCAAGGGAAAATGCAATTGTATTTCGGCTCCAGTCAGCATCAGCGAACTACCAATCATCATTACGCTGGGTAGAGTGGAAGGTGGCCGGAAGATTGTCAATAAAGAGATGTGTACAATCCACTGGCTATATCATCTAAGAATAGATGATACAGACTGCCAACATTTTTCTTCCAATTTCTTTCACCCCTATATCCGGCTATCCGCTCATGTCTTTGTCCCTGGTAGCATTTCTCTATTACATAAACTCCAGGCTCTCCTTCCTTTCCATCCTCATTATCCCCAGTTGTTACCTCCCCATTCTTTCTCTTTCCACATGATTTCTTTCTGATGAGTGATAGGCTACTTGATTTCTCCAGCTGCCCCAACGTCAATAAATATGTGGCGTGTGCTCGCTGATACCAAGCACAGCTGCTATGAAATATGAATGGTGTGTGCTCGTTGATACCAAGCACATCTGCTATGAATGGTGAAAACTCCAGAACATAACTCATCAGAGTTGCAACTTGCAAGGATTAATAACACCGATAGTTATGGGTATGTGAAGCTAAATTTGAAGCCCTGGAATTTTCTGTTAAAGGTGTAAAGATATACTCCCTCCGTTCCGAATTATATAGACGCATTTTAGTGTGTTTGTTCACTCATTTCAGTCCATATGTAGTCCATATTGAAATATCGAAAACATCTTATAATTCTGAACGGAGGTAATAGTTCTAAAGAAGTGTCAAGAGGTGCGCTCGGTGCATACACTTAGTTGTCTGTACCACGGACGATAATGCCTACCATCTGAGCCTGTGATGACCCCATGACCAGTGAAGAGTGAGGACAGCTGAACTGACTCATCAGTCCAAAGCCCAAAATGCATGTACTTGATTATAGTAGGTGCAAAGATGCATGTACTTGATCTACCTGGTAGTTCGTTAAAATTAGCCTACCAAGATTGCAGAGATTCAGCTCATAATGTGAAAAATCAAATACTCCGTACTTCACGCTGCCGATGCGCAGGTGTTAGCTACGCTGTCAGGACCTTCTTCAAACATGTGGCATTCAATGTCAGAAAACTTTATATTAAAGCACCACACCAGAGTACCTAATAGTCTAATACTGTTGAAAGTCTTGCATCAAGAGGGTAACATAACTAGAAAAAATACTGTCCACTTGTCCCAAGTAAACCGGACTAGGACATGGGTCATGTGAAATGCCAGGCTTCCACACCAGGAAATTCATCAACAAGAAAGTGAAAGGATCCATGGTCCTTACCGTAAGGAAAATTGGTGTCCGGTCAACTGACCATGAACTAACTGCCACTGAAATGAATAGACGAAATGGTGGTCCATAGTGAAGCCAATAATAATGGGCTGATGACAGTTGGGAGTTGTACCTGTCACATTGGCCGATCTCAGAGCAAGCAATAAAAGATACGCCGTGTTGGCCTTATGAAACTGGTTGCATTTCACAGTTTGAATTTACAAATTCCTACGTAGTTCAGACCTAAAAGAGAACACTATAACACAAGCTTATCTGAAGTTATCAACTAGCCATTGTCTCAGATAGGGATCTCATGTATGCGGCACGACGGTCTGGTACACCATCTTGCTCCCTTCTATCCTCAAACCACTTAATAATGGTCTTTCGTGGAAGGCTTGTAACTTGAACTATGCTACTGATCATAGTATTCTGTAATAATGCAACACCAAAGTAAGTGATGATACATTTACAAAAACCAAGCTGGGAATTTAAGCAATAGAAAATATATAGTGAACGTGGTCTTCACGTAAAAAATACTTACAGTGGGGCGTTTGGATTTGAAGTAAACCTTTTCCAGTGTTTCCAGTTGCGCCTTTTTCAGCCTTTTCTGCGCAGACCATTCTGTGCTCATGACATGAACCGGAAGGTCCATCTGTGGATTGGCTTCAGTGGCATCAATCTCATCAACTACAACCTCATCAGCTACTGGAGAGGGCTCTATTTCCTTAGTTTCAGGTTTAGAGGGGGCTTCATCAGGCAAAGAATCAGACATAAGTAGAAGTTCTGGAGGCGGATTGCGGAGCAATTCAATGACCAAACCCCTATCCAGGCCAAGCTCCCCTGCAAGATTCTTTATCTGCAAGAAAATCAATTCAAGACAAAGCCAAAAAATCAGTTTTGAATTACCTATTTACGTCAATGAGCCCTTCCTAGTAAAACAAATGGTGCAGATTTAAAAGGTGAAATTAAACAGAACTCGAGCGGATATTTATCTGCTTACACTAGTTTTACGCCGACCAATTTGCATTGCACGAGCCAATCTCCGGAGCTGCCAGCTTTTAAGCTCTGGCCGTTCGACTGGATCTGCTGCCTCATCATTACCAACAACTTCGGAGCCTGACACCAAATCTACTGCAGATTCATCAGCAACATCGACATCTCCAATGGCTTCTGCCAATACCTGTTCAAACCTGGCCATGTCTTCCTCTGATATTTCATCATCATCATCATCATCCTCGACAGACAAATCGTCGTTCTTCAGATCTTCTTCCAGCTGCTTGAAAAGCGCTTCCAACCCACCCTCGTCGTCGTCGTCATCCTCGTCACTGCCATCAATGTCATCCTCTGCTACCACCACCTCGTTCTTAATTTTATTCTGGAATACAGAAGATTTTGTTAATTATGGCCACATAATAAAGCCCCCTATAGTTCCCACACAGCCTGTACAACAAATGCCATGATAATTACTGTCATTCAAATCTCCCAACGTGGGAGTATATACAGTTCTTCAATGGGTCGGCTCGGCTCCCCTTCGATGAACAAGGTTATCCACACGGCTCGGCTTTTACATAAACAAGGTCTCATCAATTTCCGACAGGTGTACCGCCATCTAAATTGCTCTCAAGTGTACCTAACTACTCCCAACCTAATCCTTCCTACAACATAACTACGCACCAACCGCAAAACAGTGGGGAGATGGAGCTGATTGTGAGGTGAAGTACCTTGTACTTGGAAGGTCGGCGAAGGGCGCAGGCGACGCCGCGCGGAGAGCGGCAGAGGAGCGGGCGGATCCCGAGGAACGGGAAGGGGTCTGGAGCGCCCAGGAGGAGAGACCTTGGAGCGGCGGCCATGGCCGCGGCGAGCGGCACCACCGTCGTCGCCATTTCCACGAGCTCGTTGCGGATATTTCGCCGTCTTCTAACCCTCTCCGTGGGTTATTGTCTGAAATCCAAATAGGCAAATAGGCCCTGATGATATATTTTTTTGAGACAAATAGGCCCTGCTGAGTAGGCTGAGCTGGATCAAGGATCATTGTATTCTTTCATGGGCCAAATAACATTTCGGCCCTCGGGCCATTGTAGCTGGGAGGTTTATTGATTCAGAGAATCCCGCTACAATCTGCTTTGAGGCTACTTACAAGAAAAGAAAGGCACTCCTAGAGCCAACACTCTGAAACCGAAGGTTACAAGCATCCTTGGCACAGAGGTCCACCGAGGTATTAGCATCTCTCGAGACATGCCTAACCGAGAATGAAACAAAACTTGACGACTTTTCCCCCGTTTCATCTAAGATATGCGTCATAATCTGTCTCGAATTACGACGTGAAGACTAGAGGTTTGCACCAACCTATAAAAAATCCACTTCCATCATCACATGTGCGAAGCCCAGAAGCTGTGCAAAGATGATACCTTCTCGCATGGCCATTGCTCCAACAATGAATTGGTCAATCACCCCAGTGAAGGGCTTACCCCTGTCCCAAAGAAGGACATGTGGGATCTGGTGACACTACCTCCTCCTCCAAGCTGGGCATTAATGTTGATGGCACCGTTAGTATTAATCTTTACCAAGTCCACGTCCGGTGGTCTACAACAATGCCATCTGAAATGTTGTTGTTGGATCAAGGCGTATTACAAGAAAATCATCCCAGACGACCTTCACCGCTTGGACAAGATCATATGAATCTTGATCATGAGTCCAAGAGTTACGCGTTGACCATGTAGCATGCATGACTGTAACCAACTTGCATCTATCCTGAACAGGGATGTGTTTATCCAGCGCTATGTCCTTAACCCATGTATTCGGCGTAGACGAGGGTGCTTCAGATTTAGAATTGTTGGGGATCGTAACAGAAATTTAAATTTTTTTTACGCATCACCAAGATCAATCTATAGAGTAATCTAGCAACGAGGGGAAGGAGAGTGCATCTACATACCCTTGTAGATCGCTACGCGGAAGCGTTACAAGAACGCGGTTGATGGAGTCGTACTCGCAGCGATTCAAATCGCGGAAGATCCGATCTAGCGCTGAACGGACGGCGCC